AAAACACAGAGCAGATCTTACAATGAAGCAAGTCCACAAATGAGATTAGGATCCTAATTTTTAAATCCACAAAACCTGCAGGAAGATTTTATAGAAATACTAAGTGCTGCTCCCCGTGCAACGCTGGGTTCCACGCTTGTTTTTTTATCAGAGCACATCACTGCTCAGAAGTCCTAGCGGTAGAGAAAACATCCCCCAACATCCTAACACTGCACATGGGGACACCTGAGCCGTCTTGCTACTCAGCACAGCGAGGGGATGTTCTGCAGAGCCAGCCACACAAATAAATCTGTACATCTAGAGCCTGCAGCACGCAACCCAGGAGGGTTTCTGCAAACCCTGCTGTAGCAACCAGGGTTTGTGCAACCAAAACAAAGAAACCCTTCTTTCATCCCCTCTCCCCAACCATCAAACAAACAGTAAAATTGCAGGACTGACCAGCAGATGCATCTTCTCCGCTCCACAGTGATCCAGCACCAGCTCATCACCAGTATCGCCACAAATAGCGATCTGCCACTGCCCCATCGGCTATTTATTAGGGAATTCTGAGCCCCAGAAGGAGCTCTGCAGGGAATGAGCTGTCCTGCAGGAAATTTGCTTCACCTGAGTCCCTGATACTTTGGCCTTTGAGTCTTCATTGATACCAGCCTCACCTGAGCATTTAAATAAAGTTGCTGGGTGAGAATCAGCTCTGTAATCAATGAGAGTTTGGTATTTTCTTTCCATAGATAAGACCCAGGGCACAAAGCAACAAAGATTCTCTTGGTACTTTTACAGGGTCACCAGCTCTCTAAATTTCTGTGGAACCTTAACAGATTGGGAGTCTGCTGCTAGGGCTCTCTCCATCACGGTAGTTACGGTGCCCAAGTGTGTGGTGTTAATCTCTAAATATCAAAGAGGATTCATGTCTATACAGGGCCAATTTTACTCTGTTTTTTTTACTACAGTCACCAATTCAGAATCATTTTTGAATTACCGTTGAGTTTTCCTTACAGACGAAGCGTTTAACTATCCTCCCATCATTTCTCTTTGCAGGCTGCTCTCAGAGAAGCAGCTTGGAAAGGGTCCGTCTCTCCTGTTTGAGTTCATCCTTTTCCTCAGGATTGATTAATAACCCACATCTATTTATAAGTTTTATACAACAAATGAATCATTTTGCTCGCCAGTGAATAGCCCGCCATTCAGAGGGAGTTTACATGTGTCAGGAGTTCTTCTATCAAGTGAGGAAAGGCAGGCAACCCGCTGCTAATCCCACGTAAATACCCCTGGAGCCTGTCTGGAGCGTGGCATCGAAATCATTTACAAAACATGAAATCTGAAAAGAACTTAAAACCTCGTAACCTGCCAGCTCCCAGCCAGGGAAAATATTCCCACAGTGCCTGCAAGTGGAATCTCAGCGCCTGGCAGGTCGCTGCGACGTGTCTGAAGGAGCGAGAGCGAGGGTGCGAATGGGACAACCCTTGCTCAGCTCCTAACCCCCGTGGGCTTTCCTTCAGACTCGTCGACCACGGTTACAGCACTTTTTGTGAGATAAAAAACCTGCTACCACCACTAGACCTTCTAGACAGGGGCAGAGACACATCCCAGCAGCACAAAGCGCTGATATTTATTGCCTTGCTAAGTAACTTTACCTTGAAGCTGGAAACTTATGGCTGGGCTCTGTTTAGGAAAAAAGGAATTGTAAGTGAAGATAATCACTTCTATAGACACTGAAAATAGCAGTCAACGCTCATCCTAGGGTGGTTTGGTTTATTGTTTCTGAGCTAGAAGCTGAGCAGCGAAGCAGTCTGGTTATATGGGAGCCTGTGTAAGAGGAAAGTGCGACGCGTGTTCTCGTACGGTGACGAGAATATTGAGCTCAGAGAGTCCGCTGGGACTGGAGCATCCAATTCGGTGCTAGTACCCCAGAAGCAAGAAGCTCCCAGGTCAGAAAAAAAATCACATAGGCAATTTTAAAACCCTGGGTAGTGAATAGACCTCCCTCATTTAAGAGGGATCAGCGTAGAGCGTTAACCAAAACATCCCCACGCTGATTTGCATGAGCTTTGCTGGGTGATTTTTGCCCAGCTTTTTGCTGTGTGTGCAGATATACTCAAAAGATTGTGTGAGGAAGGGGCTGGGAGGAAGATGAGTGAGCAGGGGCGTGGTGAAGGCAGCAAAGTTTCAGTAAATATTGACTGATCTGTGTGGAGCATCCCAATAACTTTCCTGAAAGTGGTCTGGCACTAGTCGGTAATACCCAAAGTTATGCCTGTGAGGACAAGTTACTGGTGTTTGAAAGTTTTTGAAGGTGATTGTGGCAAACATTTCCATGAGGAACTCAAAGCTGGGGGTGAGAAAGAAACTCATTCCCTAAGAATAGAGGTAGTTTTCCTCACCTCCACTTTCCCCTAAACCTTTAGGAATGTGAAAAAAGAAGAAACCACAGCCGCTGTTAGCAAGGTGCCCCGTCATATCCCCCTGCCTCAGCTCGTGCAGACGGCGTGCTGAGCATGCTGGAAGGACTCGGAAGAAAAAAAAAACACAAACCAGACTTTTTATTTGAGCCTCTTTTAGATTTCTCCCTTCGCATGCCACAAATAGCCACGGGCTGGGATTAACACACTTGGCCATTACACCATAGGCTCAAGCACACGGGGTTTATTTTGTTATAAACAGCTTTTCCATCCCAAACTCAGTCCTCCCGAGTCCTTAAATTTTCTCGGACTATAAATTTTATGACTACAGAAGAGGACTGAAGCTTCGCTTCGCACACCATTAATCTCCCCGCTCTCCAAACAGCACAGAAGCCTCGCAAGAGTGTTTGTCTCGGCCACAGCCCAGCCAGGAGACTCGTGCCCACATTAGTCACGAGTTTTGTCCGCTTGTGCCTCAACACCGGAGGTCCGCCCTCAGCTCGCTCGCTTCTCGGCTCTTTCGAGCCGTTTTTCCCCATTTTACTGCTGGATGGGTAATCTCATGCTTGATGAGGGAGAAAAGCAGAACAATTCCTCTCCCCCCAAGAAGACTGTGAGCGTAAAACACAGCGAAGAAGGGAAAACAAGTCGCAAATCCCCAAAACAAATTCCGACACACGTTTTTAGGTCTACAGCAAAATAAATATTTTAACTCTGATTTACCAAGAACAGTGAGACTTGGTTTAAAAAAACCCACAAACTGAAACAACAAAAACCTATCAATACACCGATGTGTGCTGAATGTGACAACACTTTATGTTGCTGTAAGTCACGCATGAAAAGACCCAATTTATTACAATAATAAATTTCACCATGTAATACGGAGCGAGGATGAATATAATACGATGTAGTACTCTTAAAGCTCTGTCTCAAAGATTTTATAATGGAGATGAAAAGAAGTTTCAGCCGTGCCTGTTTTACAGCAGATTTTTCCACAGCTCTTGAAATAAGCCATCTTTTGCCACCAGCCTCAACAGCAGTTCCCGGAGCTTATAGAAACTTCAGGTATTGATCAACCTGGGCAACAGACCCAGCAACAGATGATTTCTTTTTTTCATGCCTTCTGCTGTCCCCAGCAGTCTGTGTCTTCATTGCACAAAGATATCAAGTTGATTGAAAAAGGCAGCCCTACACCAGGGATATTTTCCGTTTGCTGCAAATATTCAGGAAGAGTTCTCTGGACTCCACTTGGGGCCGTGCTACCACCTATTTATGACGCTGTTATACAACCATTTCCTTAGCTAAGTTGAATGAATAAAAGGGCCGGGTGTCTGCTGAAAGGGGGAAGCTACAGGGGTACGTTGGATGAGTGTGGGATTTGTTTCGATCGCAAAGGTGTTACCACATCTCAGGTAACAACTTCACCCCGTGAAATCTCAACACCCTTCTACTTCGGTAAAATGCCTGTATAGCCTGGAGCTATATGCAAAGCTGCTTTGAGGGCTCGATCTCACGTGCTTATATGCAGAAATCCAGAAAACATTCACTGGATGGTCTTTTGGAGGGTCTTTGACAGCACTTCCAACCTCCAGGTAAGGCGCAGACAGACTCCCTCTGACCCTGGCCACCTGATGGAAGTAAGCCTTGCTCCACGTTTTCTTTCAGTATTTCACTGCAGTTGAAAAAATACAAAATAGGTGACGTATATGATGCGAGGCCTCTCTCCTCACTGCCTTTGCCAGGCTTTTGACAGCCGGTGTGATGCATCCCACACGTTCAAAAATGATTACAGGGCACCTGAGGGGATGCTGTTCCTGTGATGCAGCCCAAAACCACGTGTATCTCTTACTAAAACATAAGAACACAAATAAGGGAGTTCAGGCTAGAACTGGTGCCCTTGGTCTTACCTTTTCATAAAAACAAAACTGCACGGGCAGCGAGGTACTCGCTTCGTCAGTAAGATCAAGGAAACACTTAGATATAAAGAACCACAATTAAAGTGTTCAGACCTTGGATTCCTGTCTGTGAAGCAGGCATTGTCTGAGAATTCAACATACTTCTTGTCAAACATATCCAACTGAACACAGGAGAGGGCCTATACCATTGACAATTGTATGAAAAAAGTAGTTTTGCTGGCAAATCCTTGTCTCCTTCCTCCACTATACATCGAGTACAGTCACTATTTTACTTTCCCTCTCAATCCTTCATTTACAAACTCAAACACCCCACAATCAATCCGGAAAGACGTGACGACTACAAGTGCGTTTGTGAAATAAAGTTATAACGCAACAAATTCCAAATCTCAGTGTATCGTTCAGTGAGCGTCTGGTGAAGCACAAATTAAACGCCACAGAGTTTGTTTCTGAATTATGAAAGTATTGGGTTGGGGTTTTTTTATGATGAATGGTGGTGGACCTTGAAAAGCAGCAGCCTCTGAAAGCAAGCTGAAGTATCTGTGAAAGGAAAGGCTCTTTGCTTGTTTGAAAAGATGCCAACAGTTAGAGGAAGCAGTCTTCAAGAGTCAAATTAAAAGCTTTCTTCAGTCAAATATACACCGCAGGGCTCTGATTCACACCCTTCCCTTCGGCACTGCTGCCGCTGGCGTTACGCGCCCAGTAACATGCCCATGAAGTCTGACCCATTCTGGATGGTGATGGGAGCTCCAGCGCTGTTGTCCACGAATATGGAGGTGTACTGACCAGCCTGCAGAGAGAATGAGAGGGAAAATATCTGACAATTCATCCCAGCGTGAAAGGAGGGAAAAAGCATTTCACTACCACGAACTAAGCACAGAAGCTTCCTGGGAACAGGATCTGACTGGACATTTTTACTGCAGCACTACAGCTTTGACTTGGAAGAAATTTTCTGTGGTCAAACTTAACTAGATCCCTACTGCACACTAGCATCGTTTTGGGTGGAAACTCAAGGGGCCACACGTGCTTCAGGTTCCCTTCTACGAAACGGGAATTGCAATTGCCATCTTGACAATGCAATGGGAGACCTGAGAAAGAAAAATATTTATTGTGCTTTCTTAGAGAGAAGCTTACTTCTGTGGCTTAAGATCAGAATGTGCCACACGAGCTTGGCTGTTGTGCCTGCTCCTGCCACAGATCCTCTCTAGTCACCCCGGGTAAGGCATTTAACTTCGTTAACCTCAGGAAGAAGGTTAATAAAAACTTCCCCACCTCCTGGTGAGAATTCAACCTTGCCAGTAAATAATTCCACAGCCTGCCAAGAGAACGGCTGCAGCGATTCCCGGTCTGCATGGGCTTACCTGCAGCTGCAGCAAACCGTGTACGTAGATCGTGAAGATTTTGCTGTTGCTTTCCAGACCAGCGATGACTTCCAGAGACCTAAACAGAAGTGAAAGAAAAATGAGCAGGTTAAACACTGAAGGCTGTCACCACAGCTGCGTGGGGAATGATGATAGCCTCACGGCCTCCCTAGAAACAGGGCCTGGTGGTTCTAGTGCCTGTCTGAACTAAACACGGACGGCCTGTTGCCTTGCTGCTTTGAGAAGAGAATGGTAGAACCTTGCCCTCAGTGGAACATCTAACAGAAGACTTGCAGAGTGTACAGTCGCAGCGGGAGGCAGGAACTGGGAGCCATCTGCTCTCACCGAAGCCTTTTCTCAAGGTCCTGTAGTCTGTGCTTCAGTTAAAAGTCAAGGGAGCTCCAGGTCATCCCTCAAGCACTGTTCTTTTCTAATAACACGTTCTAATAGCCATCATATTCCTGGCAGTGGCAAGATGTAGGACAACTGCTCTCTGTGGCATCCTCTGTTTTTACAGAACCCCAACTCTGCCTCCTATACAGGATTCAGGGTGGAAGGAGGTGCCCGAGACATCAACAACCAGAACAACCCATGAAAGCTCAGTTCCAAAGCAAGATGAAAGCAGAGAGCTCCGTGCCTGGCTGGTTCTTCTGAAATCTGCCTGGCCAGCGCTAGCAGATCTAGTTCTTTCCCCAAGAAAAACCAACCCCTTTCCTCCCTTTTTTCCGTGAAGCGCTAGTGACAAAACCTAGCAAGTGCAAACGTGCCATTTCCAGCCCCCTTGCAAGGAAACAACATGCAGAAAAAGTAGGGGCGATTTGGCCCAGAGAGCACAAGCCACTTGGCACCACCTTGACTGAAGAGCTCAGTCTGTGTGTCATATCCTGCCAAAAGCCAAACCGGGGTGGGAACTTCCCACCATTAATCTCTTCTACTCCAACTGTCTCCTTGCCTCCGAGTTTCCATCTCTCTCAGCCGAAAGCCCTCAGGGCTCTTCCAGCTCCCTCACATGAATGACTGAGTATGCCGACATCCCCAGGAAATTCCACAAGCACAGGTAGCAGCTCAGCCTGTGCCAGCAGAATGTCTGTCCAGACAGGTTCCCATCCCTCCTCCCATCTTCCTTCCATGCCCCAGACCCGTCGTGCTCTCACCCACCACAGGAGAGAGAGGTCTCTCACAGAGCCAGGGCTGGTTCTGCTTTACTCCCAGCCGCTGCCCAACTCACTCAGCTGGGGACAGCCTCGCAGGACAACCGGTCATAAACCGTGATCCTGGACAACTGACGAACCCCCCGAGTCAGACATCAGAGAGCTTTACCTAAACGATTAACAACTGGGCCAGTTCTGTCTAAGAAAATAGTTTTTACTGTTGTTTGGAATTTAGATTTTCTGTATGATTCTGTCACTGAAGACAAAGTAGAGAGGTGAGCAGGATGGGTGGCAGCTTTTCACTCTCAGAGATCTGCAGGATCAATTTCATTTTTGCATCCTCGTAGGTAGCTTCGCAAATCTACCCGTGAGAAGGTATCGTATCCCTGTATGCAAGCCCTGAACTTTCTGCCTCAGGATCCATTCACCTCTATTTCCCACCTAGTCATTCTCCTCATCAGTCCAACTCTTCCACGGCAATATGAGCGAGATGCTGTGATCCACTCAGGATGCAGCTGAAATTAGAGAAATTGAGCTAACAACCTCTGGCACAAAATTAAAGTGTTTCGCTCTGTGTGTTTATGATGATAGCTGAGCATTCAGCACCTTTGGCTATATCCCGTTTCAGCTGACTTCATTCACAATTCTCTCAACATACGCAATATTCAGCTATTTCCAGCAATTAGCACTGGAAGGTTAAAAATCAGAATTAAAAGGACATAAATTGTAAAGGCCAGATGGAATCACTCGCTTCAGACAAGTTCTGCAAGCATTTATCACATAAAATTTACTGTTGGTGAACCTGACTTCCACAGCTGGCTGAAACATTGGCCCATCTGAGAAAAAGAATTGCCAAGACAGCACTGGCAGTAACTCACGTGTATCGGTGGCACAGAGATTCAATGCAGATCAACACCCGGACGTTATCTCTGGCTCGGAGTTGGACTTTACTCTTCAACTCGCTGTGGTCTGCGGAAAACAGCAAAAGAAATATAAGCGCTTCCACAACACAGCAGACCACCAGTTGCTGGTGTCTGGCCAATGCAAAAAGAGGTTGAGGTGGCCAACGCTCACCGATGTGGATATTGGCTGAAAACTGGTAGATGCCAGACACAGGTGCTGTGAAACGTCCCGTTGCCAGATTTAAACCTGTCCCCCGGAGAAAAGCTCCTTTGGCTAGAGGCTGTAAGACAAGAAGAGCAAACCCTGAAGAGCTCCCCAACACTCTTAACCATTACCTCTGGCCCTGACAAAGAACAAGCTGACGTGCCTGAAAACAAAGCTGAAACAAAATTTGCGAGGCTGCTGCCGCATCACCCCAACACAAAGCTTCCAGGAGGGCTCTCTCGCAACATCCGATACCCACAAAAGGCAAAATGATCTGTATGAGACATGAAGATGCTCTTTTTGCTCTCTGCCAAATGCTTCTAACTCACCTTGACCTATCTGCTGGTCCTGACAGCCTCTAGCCTCCGCTGATGTTCTGATACACAAGATCTCCCATTATTTGAGTCAAGAGGTCCCTACTACTCCCAAACACTTCCTAGATAGGGCCAAGTAGGATCATCAAGCTTAGAAACCAGGAACCTTACATATTGTTTTTGTTTAACAAGAACACAGGAAACACTCATATGGGTCTCCAGAGGTCTTCTACTCACTTTAGGTCTGAGTCAGGTGGCTTCGATACTGTTAAAACCCAGCTGCTTGGATTCTTACAGTTTCCATATTTGGTTTCACTTGGTTCTAGCCTTGGATTCTACAGAACAGGCAAAATCGTAGTAAAATAGCACACAGCTTCTTTTCACGACAAGGAAGCCGTCTTAAGTCAAACTCGCAGCAGATTATCTGACTCAGACTAAAATAAACTCCGCGAGAAATGTTTATTGTTTGTTTTGGCCTGCCTCGTATGAATTTGGCTGGAGCTGGGGAGGAGCAGGAGTGGCTTCAACGGGCCAATAATGCGCATTAGTCAGCCTCTGCTTCCACCGCAAGGGCATTCGGTGCAATGTGAGCGCATCCCCATGAAGGCTGCCCGGAGAGATCTGCCCCGCATCAGTCTTACGGGACAGAAGGGCTGCTCAGATCTGTCTCTGCAAAGGCACGCAACCCTGCCACGTCCCTAAAACATGCGCAAACACGAAATTTGAGGGCTCTGAACAACTCAACATTTGAGTATGCTTCCCAGTCCTTAGATGGCGGAAGGGTCCTGAGACAGGGTGAACAAATTTGTAGCAATGTTGCAACAGGTGCTATTCAGTGTAAAAAAAAAAAAAAAAAAAAGGTAAAAAAAAAAAGTAGTGGAACACCTTGATTAATTGTCTCCACCATCTGGTCCATCACTGCCAAAAATTGCCAGCTTTCACAGGGCAGGGCAGGAATAATTTATTTAGCTTTCTCTTTGAAAGGAAGTAAGGCTGCAGATGTTTGGGTCTGGTGGTGTTTGTTTGGAGAGTTGCTACACGGTAGAAGTGAAATGACTAACCTGCCCTTTTTCAGCAGATCCCTCACAAAACATTAGTTCCCAGTCTTTATTTACCAAGACCTAACTATAGCCTTAAATGAAACAGAACTTTACTAGAAACGTTTTATGTACACATGTGGTGGTGAAATTCTATCCATGCGCAACAGCGGTGGCATTTCTCATAAGATTACCTACCTGTAAAGGGAGAACAATAATAATGAACTGCAGAACACTACGTTTCATCCCAGGATTTCCAAGTCTTTCTGTTTACCAACGTGCACTGTGTGCACACACCTGCACACCAAAGGAGCTCAGTTTCCTTTATGTACGCACACACTGACAACACAACAGCCAACCTAACGCAAAGGCTGCGGGAGGACACTGATTCCGTGCTTGTGCTATCACTGGGCCGTCATTTTTGGCACCGCTATTTTCGATTTACCTCACCGAACGAGCAAAATTGCACTGCATAGTTAATTCTTTCCTTTCTTGTTACAGCTATTAGCAGAATCAGCAACATAATTCTGAAAACACTGGCTGAGCATGGAAGGCAATTTTAAGCACCAGCAAATTATCACTGATAAAACATTCCTGTTTCTTCATGCCCTCTCTCTGTGGCTTTGTTATTCTTTTACTCATGGAAATACCCAACGCAGGGACAGGTCCTCTGGGCAAAATATTCCATTAGACCCCGCACCAGTGAGAGCTCCCTGCTGCATTAGCTCCTCACAGCAGCACGCTCACCTCGCTGCTTCCACCACGGCAGGGATTTCCGTCTGAGAAACTACTTGCACACAGTTATTTCAGTGGCCAGAGCAAACAACCAAGTGAGTGTCCATCCTGTACAAACTGAGGTCAGCCTCTCTTCCTCGGTTCTTCTCCTATCCCCACGTCTCGATCATGCACCCCACAGTTTATTTCTGGTGAAAAACGGGAGCCATGCTCAGAGAAATGAGATGGGAACTGCCAGTTTAGCTTTCCGATGGTAAACACCACGGAAAATGAAGCATTGCCTTATCTGTTATTAAAGAAAAGGATAACCCAGCCTGTGCACCAACCTCCTGAAGCAGCAATAAAACTCAACTGCCAACAGTAGACAGTCAACTTGACCTCAAGGAGTATCACAACTTTCATTCTAGATACAAAGGAAATTGTGAGACCCAGGGAGAGAGGGGGATGGAATGTTCCTGGAGGAAATCTGGCATGGAAGGATGAGAAAACCATCATGCTCTCTCAAGACCCGAGGTCAGAGTGACTTACACACCATACTCAAACCGCAGAGTGAAGAAGCGATAGGCTCTTTCTCAGTACAGTTCTTTCCAGTATCTCAAAAAGCTTTGGGTAAATTCCAAATCCAGGAATTAGAGTCAATCCCTGTAATCTCACTGAGAAGTATCAAACTGTTGGCTTCTTCATGCGATTAAGCTGACAGAACGGAGGAAGGGAAATTATCTCTCTCCACTTTGGACTGTTTAAAGACAATGTTTTCATCTTTGCCAGAGCACCCACTGTCTCCCTCGCTGCTGAATTCCCCAGTACCAGAGCACAAGCTAAAACCAGACACTTCTTGTCCCAAAGCCGAAAGGCTGGCATCCAGAGGCCTCCCACAGCAGCTTCAGGGCCAGAAGCAATTAGAAAGAAACTAGGCGCACGATAACAAAGCCTGGGAAGCAGCATCAGCCTACGCGCTGATTGCAGAGATGTCTTTATTCACATTTTCCCCTCCTAATTAATGAGGCAGCAGATCCTTCTAGCCCTGCCCACACTTCAAGTACAGTCTTGCCTCCGTGCCAGCACCCACGGTGCTGTCAAACCAGGCTTCCACAAGTGTATTTGGGAGAGATCCAGGAAAGCACCCCGCTTAGAACACAGCCACTGCCCCTAGTCCTGCAGCTGGGAGAAGCATCTGAATGCTCTGTGCTATTAAACAGGCTTTGTGACTCCAAAGTCCAAAATAAGTCTCCTCAATTACCAAGTCATTATTCGGGTTTAGCTATTACATTTACGCTTCAAACTCGGATCCTATTTGCAGCTGGTTCAGAAATGGTTAGTATAAGTTTTAATATCGAATTCAACAGCTTGTTGTAACCATGCTGGTAATGCCCTACAGCATCCCAGGGTGGTGTGCTTGTCATTATAACATGGATATAACAACATTATATAGGTAACTTATCTATAAAACATTATGGGAAGAATTTGAGCATCAGGACTGGCCCATCTAACAAAATGATGGCTTTTATTTGGACTCACAAATTTATAACCAATGGCTTCTGTCTGCCTCTGATATTCTCCTACATCTGAAGGTTACTCTGAAATTAAACAGGGTGTGCACTGAAAAAAAAGAACAGATCCTTCGGACTAATGCCAAACATGGACAAGTCTTTCTCCATCATCAACCAAAATAAAGAGATTGCTTGTTGTTAGGACCTGTGAGACAGCCTTCTCTTGCACAGACCTGTCAGAACTTCAGTAAGAACGGTAACGAGACTCAGCCGGGCTGCAAGAGAGGAAGAAAATCTGCCTCTTGGGTTTGTCAGGACTCAAAGCTAAACATCCGTCTTACTGCACTTGAGCTTCAGTGTTGAAATCACCATGCAAGCTCCTACTTCTGTCAATCACAAAAAGAAAGTAGCATTATATTCACAGCACCCAAGCCTGAGATGAGCTTCTGGGATTAGTCTGCGCTTTCAGGGAACACCTTTATCTACAGAGCCCCCGCAGCAGCTTTGCAGACACAGGGAGCTCCTGCGGATCTACGCACAATGGCTGTTGCAAGCTGCACAGGTTCAGTCTGTAATCCCTTCTCACCGACTGGAAGTTCTGAAGTTCTACCAGGGTCTTCTTATCTACAACGACTTGGCCTTTTAGCTTGCAATGGAAAGCCTCCTCTACACGTCTGTGGGGTGAAACTTCCTCCAAGGAGAGCAGAAGTGGAGGCAGCTGGCTAGGATGGGCTGAAACAGCCAGGGATGCTCGACGCTCAAGGGCTTCTGAGAAGAAAAAGTATAGAAGAATAAAAGGCTTAGTTTAAGAGCCTGGTCTACGAGGCCATTAGTTGTGCAATTAGAGTTCCGCACTTAACTCTTCAGCTTGAACTAAGCAACACTGGGGAAATATTTTTTCAAATTTTTGATTGTCAGATAGGGAAATGCTTTAAGGCAAATGTTTGCAAAGCCAGTTCTTTATTTGCCATGGTGCTTACCAAAAGAAGCAGAACACAAAACCACAAAGTTCTTACAGTCTTTACCTTTTAATATCTCTTTAAACTCCTGCAGAAGGACTTCCCGGGTGACTTCAGCACCAGGTGCTCCTGGAGGTCCCTGAGGACCCGGAGGTCCTGGGGGCCCAACAAGGCCACGCTATGGAAGTAACCGAAGAAAAACATGTGAATTAGAATCCGGCAATTGCCCTGACAGACCAAAAATCCTCACAGCCATGAGCCAGTTCTACAGGGCCATCGGCCATAGGAGCAGCCCCCTTCACTATCAATTCAACTTCAGCAGTAAATTTTAAACCAACTCTCCAGCCAGCTATGAATTCCAGCACTTGGAATTTACTCATGTCTTTATGTGGGAAGATAAACTTTGCTCAGGTAAACACTAACTGGTTCTTCAAGTACATATGTACAGTATGAAGCACAACAGGCAGGAGGTGAAGTTTGCTGCTTCCGTATCTTCTCATACCAGTAAAGTATCATACCAGCCTTTAAGCTTCTTATTCTGCCTACTAGAATAGCCATCTAGCCACACTTCTCACATATCTTATCTTACTGTCTCACACCTCTCCAAAATACTTAGAGAAATTAAACACAAAAAAAATGAAGATGCAGCACATTCCGGGGTGGGAAGGCCAAAGTTGGAGCATACAGAACACCTTGAGCATCAGCAGTAGGAGCGGAACACATTTATGAGCTGGTGACAATCTAGCCATAACCTACTAATTTCTTGTCTTTCCCTTTGCATCGCCTTTTAGAGGTATTGCCATCGTCTGGGCGGTGAACAAAGGAGATCCAGGTCCGCCGTGGATCTGTGATTCGAGGATCTGGAGATTCTAGGATCTAAAGAGAAGAAGAACAAAGATTGAGATCACTGTATCTCTGTGGCCACTACATGGATTCAGGCAATGCAAGGTCTCCAGACCAGACTGTTGTCTGCTGCCTAAACCACGTGCTTGATCCAAACATACTGTGTTTGGGAGGATATTGAAGGTGAGAGAAAAAATGGGATTTTACAGTTCAGTAACAGGCAATTCAGCTTGGATTAGCCAGTAACGTGCCACATTTTGTCCTCAATTTCAGGAGCATTGCAAACACAGGATAGCATTTCAGTCTGAGTTCTGACAGTGTATGAAAGACACCAGCCTTTCAAAAAGTCTCAACAGAGATTTTTACAGGCTAAGCCTGCCAGCCATGTCCCAAAAGCTGGAAGATGCCGCCCTTCAAACACCAAGGAGAAGAAAAACTCCAATGAATGCTTAAAATCTTTAAAACAAACAAAAAACTCACCCTATGCCTATTGAGAACTTTTGGAATTCATTCAAAAAACCTGTTTTTTCTTCTGCTGGTGAAAGAGAACAGGTACAGATCACAATTCCAGCAGGAAAGCAGCACAAGGCAGCAGAGGGTTGAATGACATCTGAAATAATTCCCAGACCGTTACAAGTTGAGCTAAATCAATATTGATCTATCACCTTTCAGCAGGCAGAAAGCAAGGTGGGTGTGGAAAAAGCACACAAGCAAAGGCAGGCAGCAGTGTGCTGGTCAATTCTAAAAGGGTTTGCCCCTGTCAAATACTTAATACCTTAATACTGTCAAACCACGACAGTATTAAGCTCCTGCTGGTCTATCACAACTCGGACACTACCGATGTGCACTTGGTGGCCGTAACAGCAGCAGTGACTTTGAGAGGTGCTTCCAGTGCAGCCAGGTTTGCAAATACGTCTACATTTTGCTCATTATCTGGCTCACCTGACTCCCTAAAGCACTTGCCACTTCTTAGAGCATCATACTGGAGTTTTAATAGCGTTTCTAGCACCACTTGTGAGCATAGATTCCCTTTCTTCAAATAGTCTGCACCAGCATGCAGAAAGCAATTAACCTTTGTAGTGCAGGTAGAGCTGAGGTGCCAATAATTGCAGTAAACATCACCAGGAATTGGATAGGGGATTGCAAATTTTAGCTAGAAATATCAGCGCAAGCCCATTTCAAGCAGAAAAGAACACAGTCTGTGTCCTCTGCCGTGGAAAATCCACGCAGCATAAATTGTTAAAAAATTAAATCTTAGAAGTTTATAAAGCTCATAAAGGTAAAGCAGGTAAAATTCTACCTGTGGTCTGCCCAGGGAAAGCTGATGGGTTTTTGTCCCAGGGACTGGGCCTGACAGGTCTGTGGTAAGGCTGCAGTGCAGCTCACAAAATAGAAGGAAGCAACTTATTAATAGTAGCACCCAACCCAAGCAGGATGGAGGTATTCCCTCAGTGCTGTAACAGAAGCCAGCAAAATAACAGCTGGGCTGCAGAGAAAAGGAAAATAAAATCAGTTCAGCCTTCGAAAAGGGCTGGCTCGTGTGGCAGGAACTCAGAAGTGCAGTCTCCAGAACACAAGAGCAGAGTCTCAGGAGCTGGGATGCAGCATTTGCTGCAGATGTGGAAGAAACTATTCAAATACTCTTGGTTTCCAGCAGGCTGCAGGGCAGGCATAAACTCCCCTCCACTGCAAAAATGAGGAAACGGGCCAGCTAGAAGCAGAAGCCAGCAATCACGGGCAGACTCTGACCATTAACTGTGAAGACAAACAGATGTCCTCAGCCTTTCTGGAGCTCCAGCTGTGAAGAAACAGGCCAGAGCAGACATCTTGTCAAGGAGGGAAAAAAAATTAAAAAAAAAATCCAGATGGCACATCCCAGAAAAATAAATGAAAAACTCCTGAAGTCTAAAAAAAAAACAAAATAAAAAAAGATCCCATACCTCTCCTGTGGCTTGCTTAAATTACAAATCCCTCTATAAGACAGGCATGGCACTCCCCGATTTCTCCAGCACAAGGATGATTGACAGTTAAAATGAATGTTCCATCCTTGTGGTATTATTATTTAATTACTATGGCATGCATGAGCAATCCCAGCAATAAGCATGCAAGCCTCTATTTTTCTTGGCAGCGGCGGGTTTTTTCCTGGCCGGCGGCTGCCTCCAGCAGCCAAAGAGCCCTTGCAGCCAACTCAGGTATCAGTCAGGACCAAGAACAGCCTCGGAATCCCAGCAAAGGGGACTGGTCCCTCCTGGGGTGCTGTTTGCAGAGCAAAGCCAACCTCCAGGAGTCAGGAGGAATCCTCACGTTAAGTACGGTGAGATCAAGCTTACTCCTTAACTCCAGAATCAACAGAAGCCTTGCCAGCAATTTAATGAACTTTCAAGTCTTTTTTTTAAGATGACTTTGGAATCCAAGTCCAATGGCACCCACCGCTTCAGAACCAGTTTAGGACACCGATGAGAAATCAGCCCGCTCTCTCCCTAACGTCCCACGAAGACAAGTTGAGCTGCACTTCAGACTGCTGTGCACGAGCAGAACCCGCGGTTCTTTTGGCTCCGAGTCCCAGCACATCACGCGCTGCCGCCCAGAGAAACACTCAGTCTCTGGCCAAGATTCAGCCAGCACAGAAGAAACTGCTAGCAAAAATCTACACTCATGTAGCAGAGTTTGGATCCTGAGAAATCGCTGGACTGTACCTAATCTATCTCTCCTGAGATCCAAGGATACAGGGATCCAGCCTGCACCTCTGCTAAAAACCAAAGCGGAATGAGCAAGAGTAGTTTCAGGATCTGGATGAATAAAAGGAAAAAAAGTCAAGGCTGCCTGTGAGCAAGTCTGTACATCTAAAAGCATCTCAAACTGTTCTCGGGCACACCTAAGCATTTCTGAGGGTGGAATGGAAAGGGAGGGACAGGATGGAAAGAAAGCATGAAGAGGTTAGAATTTTGTGAGAGGACAGCATCGCTTCCACCTGCAATGAGTCAGACCTATGTGGCCAAGAACATCTATTTAACCTCTCCAGTCCAGTGTCTTTATGCCTGAAGTTACTGCCACGCAAGTTTTACTCCAACAGTTTTCTGTGTATTTGTCCACCTGTGATGGAATTAAAATTTAAGAATTCTTTGCTTAATAGTCAAGCAGTTGCCAGACATAAAATAGACCTGACTAAGCATTTCAGTTATCTTAATCCACAAATTTCTATTTTGTTACACCTGATTTACACCAGCAAGAATGCTGTCAGCTTCATTATGAAATTAGCAGTCAGTTATTTATTTTACTTGGAACAGGTTAAAAGGTGACAGACCACTTTTTCTTAGCATAACAATATCTTACGTCAGCTGCTAATAACTTCTGGTTATACACACTTTTGGTTGTTAATGAGATGTAAAACCAAGGTCCCGACCACTTGTGGCTTTTACAGATCTCTCAAGAATTTTCCCTAAAACAGAAGTGTTAGGTTTGGCATCTTAGCCAAATCCAATGCAGAATTCCTACCTGTGCTCCTGCTATGGTTCATGCTTGAAAAATTATACTGCACACCTCTAAACGGCTACCTCAAAACCCACCCGAACAGGGGCAGCACAAAGCATCTAGCGAAGCCCAGCTGATGTAGGGCTACATACTGTAACAATGAGCTTTTACAAACCTTACAGACAGCTCTGAGAAATGAGACCGAGCACTGAATTATCAGATACGCCAAGTCACACGCATGAATCCAACATTTTATTTCGTTGTTTGGTTTTTTTTTTTTCACATGGGCCACAAGGAGTTGCTAGGAAGCACGTTATTTGGTACAGTCCTTCTTGTTCATAAAGTGCCAGAGTAAGACTGACTAAGACAACAGAGTCAAAACATGGAAGATAACATCTCCTACTACATGTAAGTCACAGTCTGGTCTCTCCCATGGCTTTAACACTTGTCAGGCCCCAAAAGCCTTCTCTCAATTCCACATGCAACCATAGCCTTCAGGTTAAGACTGAAATCTCTTTACAGAGGAGGAATGCAATCTGTGCAATGTCATTAAACCAGCCGCTGTTTACACTTGGAAGCAAAGGCCTCAAAGAAATAATTCGGAGAGATTTAAGCAATAATGCAGATAGACCTAGCCCTAGACATCTGACATAAACAGAAGGATCACAAAGGAAATAAAATTTTCAAGGACTCCTTAGCTACATAGTGGGTAACTAAATTAAAAACATTACACTATCTCTTGTAGAAATTGCGCTGCAGCTAAAATCCTTTTGACCTCAAATCATCCCTGTAATTTCACTGGGATGCTGAGTCAATAATTCTCCCCAGGTTAGGATGTTGCCTTTGAGTAGCTGGATGACCCCGAAAAGCAGCTCACAGAAGAGCTGAAGTGGGGAGAGACATTCACAGATTCAGTTCAACACCCCCTGCTCGAAGCAGGTGAACCAGCGTGCGTTACTCTGGACCACACACGGTCAGGGTTTGACCATCTCCAAGAGTGGAGACTCTGCAGCCTCTCTGTCCAATGTTTGACCACCCTCAGGGTAAAGAACCTTTTTTTCTCATGTTTAAGCGCGATTTCCTGCGTTTCTACTTGTACCCACCACCTCTTGTCCTTTCACTGGAGACCAAGAGTCTGACTCTATCGTCATTC